CTGAATCTGATTTCCCGTATGCTATCGGTAACGATCTTTTCCACCCTTTTGCTTGCGGTTCCTCCATGTCAAGAGTTCGATGCCCGCAACCTGGGGTCGACCTTTAATGATAAGATGTATAACTACAATACACAATGCAAATCCCATGCCTTTGGTGGGTGGTCTGGGAGTTCTTTAATTGGTAATAGGGTTTTTCTTTTCTTAGTGCTTCTATAGAAAAAAACTAGGATGGGAGAGAGAAGGGGGGCTTTTGGTGTGGAGTGAGGAGCTCTTTTTTCAAGAGGCACATGGTTGTCAATTTTTCTCCCATGAGGAATTCTTTTCCTCTCTCTTGACCCTTTTATATAGGAATGTCCAATGAGGGAATCCTATCCATAAAAAAGAGTAATCTTTCATATTTTGATAATATTCTTTCTAGCAAACTTTATTCCCAATTGGAAATCCATGTCACAAGGGATTCCCTTTCCTTTCTCTACACCATGAACAAGTCCTGAAATACCATGGATGACCTTCTCTCTATTAACCACTAAAATATCGAAAATACTGTGGATATCCTTACATTCGCAAGGGGGCTGACTCCAAATCCAACACCTAGTTACCGGGATCTCGTAATATGGGCTGCCATCCCGCTTTGTGAATGTGATCTCATGCTTCTAGAGTGGGATTGCATGTAGCTGCGATCTCATGTCAGCTTAGTGCAGCCCAATCTAGTAAGGGTTGGTCAACAACTCCACACTCCTACATTCATTATATTCTAAAGGAACAAGCAACAAATATTTGTCACTAGAGGAAGGAAAGCAAGAAATGTATATCCGTAAAGAAAATGCAATAACGTGCATATCAATTAAAAACATAATAATTATTGCAAACCATGTTTTGAAAATTTTCAAATAGAAAGAGATTCTTAAGTCTGAATCAATAGAAAAGAGAGCTTCGAATGACGATCCCCCAATTGCATTTAACGTTGGTAGGTGGGTCCAACTTATGTTTCCTTTATTATCATATGTATTGTAAGATCATATAAATATCTTTAGTATGTATTGTGATGGACTTATATATGAGAAAACTCATATAAATATGTTAGTTCTCTCAAATTTATTTGAATAAATATATTTGTGACTGTAGTGAATATATCTGTAATATATTAATTTTCAACCTAAATATTTGAAAAATTCTGATCAATCTTTTACTTTTTAAATTTTATAGATTTTTAAATATTTATTGTATGGATGATCCCAAATGAGGTAATGCCAGTGACTTCCCTCTCTCACTTTCACTTCCTCTTTGCACTTGCCGCTACCTCTAACAACTTTGGCTCTTTCCATACAGAAAAACCATTGTGGGTTCCATCCTCTTTAGGTTCCCTTTTGGGTTAGGCCCCCCATTGGATCAGTTAAATTTCTAGGCTATTCATATCATTGAATTCAGAATGAGGGACTTGTTAATGTAGCTGCACCATATTCTGTTCTTTTCGTCAAGTTCAGAAATATGCAGTCTTCTTTTATTTTGTATGAGGTATTTACCATTTCATCACCTTTCTATTGTGATATAATGTGATGGCTTATCGAGCCCGTTTACAATTGAATGGGAATTACTCTTGTATTCACTCTATTTCTCTTCACATGTTTAAAAAAGCTCCTATCTGTTGGAGCTTCAGGTCTGCTGCCCAAATGGGGAAGTTTGTAGCTGGAATTTGCTGGCTTGTAGTACTTTCATTTCTTCTTACATTTCAATTATTAAGCTCTCCTCTCTTGGTCCACTTGTTGACCCCTTTGGTTCTGATGCTTGTACTACTTTTTCTTATATGATAAAACTTTTCATTATTGATTAAAAAGTGTTTCACCTATTAAACTCTCTATTGCTTCTGTAATGCAGCACACTATCCTTGCACACACATGCCAGCTGCTTTGCTTCTTTTCTGCAGTTCTTTCACCTGTGTTAATGTGGTGGGGTTATTTCTTTTTATTCACTTTGAGAATCAAATGAATTTGGCAAATGACACAGAACATACATTTCAGCCCATAGGGTTTGGCTTTTTCACATGTGTGAAGGAGCCAAGCATCACAATAGCTCTGCAAAAGGTGAGTACATTTGAAATTCTCACTATCGGCAGCATGGATTTAGAAATTTAGTGTGCCAAACGTGTGTGTAGAAATTTAGTGTATCATGCTGGTCTATCACTATAAAAGTCACCAAGTTAAATTTACACATTAGTAAAATATTCACTATTGTTTTCTGAGGAAGCAATCCATGTTGAAAAATTACTTAAAGTTTTTTGTATCAAACAAAGTACAATAAAAGATAACATAATAGGCATGGTATTACTATCTGAACTCATGTTTTTGTAGCATGCAGCCTCTGTTTGGGTGGGAGTACCCATGGAGCCAGGTATTGTACTGTAATCATGATTTTGGGTGCATGGTGAAACATGAATTTGAACAGCAAATCCCTTAAATAAATAAATAATTTAAATTCTTCTAATAGTGAACTGGGTTAATAAATTTAGGCTCTGTTTGGAAAGGGGTTTTTATGCAGTAAAGATAAAATGCGATAAAGATTGTGTTGGTGGCAATGTTCGCAAAATCTAACCGGAACGGTTAACTGAAAGTGATTTAACGGGCCTAACGGGTAAACCGGCTGATTCAACCGCTCTAACCGGGCAAGTCCTGAACGATAAAAAAAGTGTTGAAAAAAAATAAAAAAGATACAAAAAAAGTCTTCTAAAATATAAAAAACCTATAAAGAATGAGATTTAAAACAATACACACTCAAACGAAGTTGAAAATTAATGAAAGAAATGGATTTTAATGAATCAATTTGTGCTTAGAGGTATTATTAAATTTTTTTGAAAAAGATGAGAAAATATAAAAATGAGTATCAACAACCAAAGAAATTTTTAATCTTTACCATAATGTAAAATATTAAAATAATGTTAAAAAAAATCAACTTCAACTATTTTTTAAAAAGAAAATTAAGGAAAAATTAAGTTATATATATAATATAGGCCCGTCTTTTTGGCAACTAAGTAGTAAATGGCATATTGGTTAGTGGGTTTAATAGTCAATTAAGTAGTAAATAAATGGCGTTTAAAAAAAAAAACGCTATAATTTAAATTGTAAATAAAATGACATTTTTTCAGTAGTAAATAAATGGCGTTTAAAAAGAACGCACTACTAAGTAGTAGATAAATGGCGGGGGTTTAAAATAGCGTTTAAGAAAACGCTCGGGCGACAGGATTCGACCCACGAATCAAACGGAATCTTCTCGTCAAAGCTAACCAACTTACCATTGTAACGTAGCTGATACAAATTTGAAGTTATATTTTATTTAACATTTAAAATACCGGTGATCACCAAAACCGCCCAAAATCGAAACCGGCCACAGGTCGGTTCCGATCTAATCAGGCGGTTGGTGGTTAAATCGGCCGGTTTTGCGAACACTAGTTGGTGGTCAACAAACCAGCTAGCTACTTTTACAATTTGGCAGGTATTGAAAATGCTGCTCCCTATCCATGTTTCCTGATAGAAAAGGAGGAAACAATAATAATAAAAAGAAAAACTTACGAGCTCCTTTCCTCACTATTGTACTATTTACAATTGAGTGCTTCACTAACCATATAAGAAGGGAGAACTGATCCTGCTAACAAAGGAAAGCCTTAATTAGGTTTACACCTATGAACCGTAGAAAATTAATAAAAGAAATAATGGAAACTACAATGAATATAAAACATATTTTTCTTAAGATGGATTTTAATATAAGGATTTCTTTCAAAAGCATTATTGAAATTCGTGATGAAAATTTATTCATGAAATGAGTGGTAAAATCTCCCAGACATCAATAAATGAATAAGGAGGAATGGATTGAAACTATGAAAGGTTTGGAAAAATAGCCTTTGGAGCATTATCTCCTGCAAAAGCAGCTTAAATGTTAAGCAACCAATCTTGGAGCATCATCTCAGCAACACCAGCAAGCAAGAGAAAGGCTTGGGTAAAGAAAAAAGGAGACCAGCCAGCAAGAGAAAGGCTTGGGTAAAGAAAAAAGGAGACCAGCAAGCAAGAGAAAGGCTTGGGTAAAGAAAAAAGGAGAGAGAGAGAGAGAGAGAGAGAGATCATTCTCTACCCTTTAGTGCCCATGGACTATATTTTTATATTCTTAACATACAAAATTGAAATTCTATATAATCTATGGATCATAAAAATTACGATCTATATATTGTGGAATATATAGTCCACGTGCATAGACTATAGGAATTTGGGCCAGGCTATGGGTGGCCCGGGCACGGCCCATGGTCTTGAATTGGCACCTGAACCTAAACCTAATCCATTGACCAGGTCTGGCCTGAAAGTCCGTGGACCAGCCCGATCCGTTGGCAGCCCTAGTAAATTATATATTTAGCACTGGTCGTATATTTAAAATTTATGTACTGATAATCGCTGCTCATTGTTTTTAATATTTAGAAACTGAGTAAAAATGTGCTGGAATCTTCATCTGCCTCTTCTAAATATTTTATTTGTTGTGGTAAGCCAGAGCTCAGGAAATTAACATTATTTGGCCCCATTCCATATCTAAGTTGAGCTTATGGAATTGCACCTTTGGAAGCTTGTTACAAAATTTACTATACTATCACATGGTCCTGGATCAAAAGTGTTGAGCAGATGCACAGTAATACGATTGGATAGCATTTTTATATGGGCTTATATTTCATAGAATAATTTTGATTTGTAATTTAACTGGGTAAATTCTTTCAGATGTCCGTAGTTTTCTTTTAGGTCTTGATCCTTCCTATCATCACTAAAAAGGTATTCTATATAAGATTAAAATTAAAAATGAAATGGCATAATACTCCTCCAATAATATTTGTTATTTGGGAACTGTTAAGATTTTTCAGTTCAAATTTGTCTTAGAGAGATGGTTTCAGCCATTGGTTTTGATTAGCCTTTTCCAAGATACAGCAAGAGGGAAGACCAGTGCTTGATACACTTGCTTTGTTTCTATTACAGGTTGCTGCTGGAGGTACACATTCTGTGGTGCTTACAAATGAAGGACATGTCTGGACATGGGGTCAACCATGGCCTCCAGGAGATATGTATGCTCTTTCTTTCTATATGTCTGTGTAGTTGTGATTTCTTGAGCACAACTGCTTGAGAGGCGAGTTGAGCTATATGTCTGATCTATTAATGTATTCGCAATCCAATACAAGAAATTTTGTGCGTTCATTTAGAAAACAGATTTCTACTCCTGTAAGAGTGCAAGGTTTGGAAAAGGTGAGGCTGATTGCTGTGGGTGCATTTCATAATCTGGCACTTTTGGAGAAGGGAACATTGCGGGCATGGGGAAACAATGAGTATGGCCAACTGGGGACTGGTGATACCCAACCAAGGTCACAACCAATTTCTGTTCAAGGGCTCTCTGACCTTGCTCTGGTATGCCATGATCTTGTTCTTGCCTGTGTTTTAGAGAACTGCTATTTGTTATCTCAACTTTGTAGGTTTATTGAAGCTCTATGAGTTTATTGTTAACAATGCACATCTGTTACCAACTGTTGTAAATACAAAGTACTGTGTTTAACAAAATAACACATTTTCAGTAATGTTGGAGTTGTGCTAATTGTTGGTTTTAGAGTAAGTAGAAATATGCAGAACTTTGGTAATCTTGCCAGTTCCCTTATTTCTAGACTGATGTGGGATTGTGATGAATGCAGACAATGTAATCTTGCCATTTCCTTTGTTTCAGTGTGATGTTGAATTCTCATGAATACAGACAGTGCCACTTGAATGTAATAATTGTATTATGAGGCCGAGGCTTTTCATTGCGGCATGAATTTTCTCAATGCAATTTAATAGTTTTTGGCATCTCCATGCATCATTATCACTATTATGTCCTCATGATATATGCTTATTTTCTTGATTGCTTCAATTTCTGCTTTGGCTCTGGGTTGAGTAAATCCTAGCATTAAATGTGAAAATAACTTGACATCATTCCTATTGCACGACTGCACTAATGGAGAAACAGTAGTTGTTGGGAGTGGGAGTGAGATTGGGAGCAAGGGATTGCTGCTTTCTAGAAGCTTTATCTCACACTTTTCTCTCTTCCAAAACTCTAGGACACCACAAACCTCTCTTTGACCTTTCTGACCCAAAATCTCAATGCTGAATGACCCCTCGTGCGACAACTAATGGGAGAATAAGAGGTGGTTGCCCCATTTACAGAGCTTCTAGGGGTATTTTAGGAATTAGGACTTTATCTTCTATTATGAGTAGGAAATTTTTCCATAGAGGAAGGGGAATTTATCAGCTTTTATAAGGCTTTTCTTATATCAACAATGTCGCTTCTTTATAGTGTAAGCTTGTCTTCTTAGAGAATAACTTGTTTTTCTTCCTCATCTTCCCATCTTCAATTTTGTATTTCACTCATCATTATTATTTCCTCCATCTCTTCTTCCAAGTCTTTTGATTCTAATTTAGAATATATGCTTTCATCTTCCGATATGTATTTGTCATATATTGGTTCTAAATTCTCTTCCTCCACTTCTTCAATCTTTCTAATAAGTTTATGTTCTTTGTTTTATCCTTCTTTGGACAGTCGGTTTCTATTTGTCCCATTTCGTTACATAGCCAGCATCTGCATTAAGATTTTGGCTTTCAGTGGGTAAGGTGGTTTACCATACTTTTTTCTTTTATAATATCTGTTTCTTGGTCAATTCTTTCTCGTTTTATAGGTAGTAGATTTTCTAAATCTAGACTTCTTTTTTCCTTTTCATTTATATGGTTTTCTTGATTCACATCCCCATTGTCCAGGGATTTCTAAAATATATTTGCAACGATTCCATACTTCCTTTCTATACTCATAGTTAGCTTGTTTTTCTTTTTTCCATTGTAAACAAGCTTTCTGGAATTCTTCTTTTGCATGGTAAATCCTTTCTCCTAAGGTATCTATATTCTGGTATCACTCTTCTAACCATATATTCCATAGTGGTGGTAGTTTGGCATAATACATCGTTTTCCAAGCTTCACTTGTGAAGTCTCCTTTTTATAATAATATTTTTTATATTCACTAGTAAATTCTTCAAAGTAACATATAGAGCATATAGTGATGTTCATCAAATTTCTTTCAGCCCTAATTCTTTCCTGCTCATCAGGGTCTTTAGTTGTTCTTACAAATTGTTTTCTCAAATTTGCTAAAGATTTTACCCGCTTTTGTACTTGGGCATATATATAAGCCCCCCTCTGCTGTAAGTCCCCTATGCTGTTGTGTAAGTCTTTGTAGTGTTTGTAGTGTAAGTCTTTGTAGGTCCTCCTCTCAGGGACCACGATGCTGTTGAGGACATGCCTGGTGGCCTCACAGTATCGACAAAACTCATGTATATTATTTTATTTAATGTTAAGTTAATTTCTATCAAAAAATTTGCTAAAGATTTTGGATCTTTATCTAACGGAGCTGTACCCAGTCAGACAACATATTATTACATTTTCTTGTTTTGTTCCATAAGATCTTTAGCTTGTTTTCTCAGCATCTCAAACATATAGTCTCTTGCTTATTGAGTAGTCCAATTAGAATTCAATCCTATGGCAATATCCATAGCCTTTTCCCAATCAGATATGGCTGCTTTTCTATCAAATACACAATCTAAATGTTCCATAAGATCTTTAGCTTTTTCTCTCAGCATAGCAAACATATAGTCTCTTGCTTATTGAGTAGTCCAATTAGAATTCAATCCTATGACAATATCCATAGCCTTTCCCAATCAGATATGGCTGCTTTTCTATTGAATTCACAATCTAAATCCAAATATATTCCTAATGGATTTTTAGGTTCATTTTTTACTGGTTTAGGATAATATTCTGATTTTAATGGACTTCTTTCTTTTTCATACACTTCTCTAGTGAATCCCATTCGGCTTGGATACTTTCCTTGATAATATGGAGATTTTCATTTTTCACTCATCCCTTCTCCATAGGGTCTTGTTCTAGGTAGTATATCAGCTTTATGTTCTTCATCCATACATACTTCCTCATTAGAAGTTTCTTGTTCCTCTCTTTGCCCTTCCCCTATGATTTCTTCATGGTCTTCTGTGAAGCTTTTTCATTCTATTAATATCTCTTCTTGCTTTATATTCATTTTCTATTTCTTCTTCAGTTAACTGCCATATGGGCTTTAGATTTTCTTTTTCTTCTAAAAACTCTTCCACTGACTGTTTTATTTGTTCCCATAATTTCTTTTCTTTTTCTATTATATTTATCGTTTTTGTATTCTCATATAAATGAATTTTTACCTGTTTATATGCTATTTCTTCTGTCTCTACTTTGTTTTTCCCCATATTATTTTTCATTACTATTCTTCCTAACTCTTCTTCTAATTCTAACTCTGATTCTCTCGGTCTTATTTCTATGGGTGTTTCTATCCTTTGTTTTGGAATAGTCAAATCTTTCCATTGGATAGTTTTAGGAATTATCTTTTTTGGAATGTAGGGTTTTGTTTTCTGTTAATGTAGTCTCACCTTTTTTACTCTGATTTATCATATTTGTTATTATTGATGTTCTTACTAATTTATCGCAAACCCTATACTGGACTGAACAATATTGTCACTACCTTTTGTCATCATTTATCTTGCATTTTGTAGTTTAATCATTAGAGTTTCTTTAAGGTTTTTATCTTCTAATGATACGTTAAAATTTGGAAATATTTCGAAATGAATTGGTCCTTCACTTGTATTCCTCCTATTAAGGCATCTTGAAGTCTTGTATGTCTACAGTCTAGAACACACACTAGTGTTGATATGTCTAACCCTTTTCTAAATAATGGACAAACTCCTATTTGTATCATTCCTAAATGTGCAAGATCATATCCTTGTTTTTTATAATTTTTTATTGTCAAGGATTGGAATCGTCAAGCTTTTTTCACTATTCTTGGATACTTAAGAGATTCCTTCATTTATTTCAATAGATGTATATGATTTCAGATCAAACATAGACAATTTATAGATTTCTTGTTTTTTCTTTTCATGTATTTTCCATTGGTAAATTTCATTATATCGTTTAATATCTTCCCAGCTACATTCTTCATTATAAATTTCTTTTAACCTTACAGTCTCTATTTCTTTCATCATATATAGTGTACTATTAAAGCTTCTTATCACTTCTTGGGTCGTAATTGCTCTCTTATTAGGTTCAACCACCATAGTTGTTCGGAACCACAAATCATTCCCACCGATGGTTAGAATTTCTTTGAATATGTGCTTGAATTCATTCGAGACTTGACCAAAACTCATATTGGAGAAGAAGAATATGGTCCTCGGGTTCCCTTTATTGCAACTATGTTCCTATTTATTTTTGTTTCTAACTGGTCAGGCGCGCTCTTTTACCTCGGAAAATCATAGAGTTACCTCTGGGGGAGTTAGCTGCACCTACAAATGATATAAATATTACTATTGCTTTAGCTGCTATTAAAGCTTTTAGTTGATGTTTCTTTATTTTCTCTTCCCAGCTACATTCTTCATTATAAATTTCTCCTAACCTTGCAGTTTGTATTTTTTTCATCATATATAGTGTACTATTAAAGCTTCTAGTTAATTTTTTTTATTTTCTACATATTCTATTAAAAATTTTTTTACGTTTAATGAAAGATCCTTAGTCTGCTGAATTAAATCTATATTCTCTATTTGTTTTATTTCTTCGATTCTTTTTTGAATTTTTTCTATTTTTTCTTCTAGAGCATTATATATATATTTTTTCATATATAAGATCTATTAAAAATTTAAAGAACTTCAATAATATTTATTATAGTTTCTTCACCTATTCTCATATGTTCTGAATGTCCAGTCTTTTCTAATTTTACAACACATTCTACATTTGGATCTATAGAATCCATATTACTTTATATAACCAGGCTCTGAAACCAATATAAAATGTGGAATTGAAAAACAGAGAAATTCTAAACAGGGAGAACAACTTCAAAAGGTAGATAGGTTTCAAGTCTGTTGTTCATCTAGTTTTCTAAATCAATTGCAAAGTTCTTACCTGTGGTTTATGGATCCACTGTGCTTCGTCCACTGAACTCTTGCCTAAAAACGAACCTTCACACGCCCAGCTTGAATTAAATATTCTCGTTGAGACTGAGACTCTTCGAAAATACAATGGGTCACTTCTGTGTCCACTGAAAGACTGATCCCAGAACTCGTACTCCTCATTTGGAGATTTTCCATCTTCTCCTTTTTTGGGCCATCTGGTTCAAATAAACTCGAAAAACCTTCCAAAGCGTCTAACTTAGAACACCATTCCTCATTGACCCCATCAAATCTCGGAACATTGCTCGGGCTCTTTCCTTTAAAGAATGCCTCTGCTACTCTTCTTTGGACTCCATTTCCCTGTGGAAAAATATGATATGAATCCACCTCCATCTTGTTACAAGATTTTCTTTGTGGATCCCTCCCCACCAAGGGCTGGTCAAACCGAACTTCGATGGCATTTCGTTAGGCAACGCCAGGGACTGGTGGCATCAGGGGGGTCTTCTGAGTTCATCAAGCTGAAATCCCACTGGCACACTTTGGGATAAGCATCATCGGAGCCTTATTCCAACATGGCCAAATGCATGGTGCTCTTCACTGACCTGAGAAACTTTAGTACCCATTGTGGAGCGCATCACACAGTCGAACGAGACTATGGCAATATCATTTTCTGGGCCTCCCAATCTACTTCTGTTCCTTGGACATTTCAATAAGTCTTTGGCAACATCTCATCACTGTATTCCCCTCTCCTGGTGTCTACTCTCACTTGGAGAGAATCCAACTCCTTGGCGGATACCTTGGCTAAGGAAGGTGTGTGTAAACCCAGCCTAGTAGTGATTCTCCCAGCAGCACCACCTGCTGATAAGAATAAGATCCTCTTGGTCACCACGCCATCGGCCACCTTTGTACGCACACAATTTTATGTATCCCCACCCCTATTCTCTGTATAGATTAACGGTGGTTATCCACCCCAAATTATATACATCCTATCTTCGAAGACCGATTTCAGAACTCCTTTGTTTGAAATACAAGTCACCATTGTGAAAAAGAAAAGCACTGTGCAGAGTGTTTTTTTCAACTTGGCTCGCCGCATGTAAGCAAAAAAAGTCTGCTACAGGTGGCATTTGGGTTTTGAGTTGCAGAGTATTTCTTAGACTCCGGTTTCTAAGACCAGGTCTGTTTGAAATATGCCCAAAATAATCTATTCCCAGAGTTGGAATGCCTCTTCATGTGAAATATGTATTTTTTAGATTCTGAGCCAGTGAGCTTGAATTTTCCCAAACTCTTTCAAGGAATTGGGGTGCCTCTTCATGTGGAAATATATTTATTTGGACTCCAAGGATACTTTTGCTTGCTTCCAATGGCCAAACTGTATTTGCAATAAATATCATAACAAATTAGATTATAAGAATCCCATGTGAATCTGGTGGAGGCAAACTGCAGTTACCTAACTACAATAGCACCACTAGTGATTTGGATCCAATAGCCACGAAGTGGACTAAGATTATAATGATGCGATACTAAGCTGTTGAAACTTGTGCTTCTTTTGTTGTCTTCCGAAATGGCCTGTTTTATATGGAAAAAGATCATACACCTTACGGTTGTCAATTTTAATTCTTTCGCACATAACTTCTAATGATGTGTCCAGCTTCTTTTTTTTCTTGATAGAGCGGAATGGTGGAACTCAGATCCAGGTAGGTTCGTTCCCGTGCGTGGAGATTTGTGTATCGACACCAAAGACTTGGGATAAGGCTCCGATGATGCTGATGATGATTTTCTATTTATCTCTGGTTGATCATTCTGTTAGGGTTTGTGGCCTTTAAAGTCCGTGAGAAAATATAAAAATAAATGTAATGGATTGTGTACTTTAGTGGGAGTGTTTCTTGGTTGACTGACCTAGGGTTGGGCTGTCTATGGTCTGGGTCATATCCAAAACCCATTCCTTTGGGCATAGGTATTGGTTTCGAGGGTTCCTGAATGGTCATATCTTGTTGAGGTCTGATAGATGCCTAGAGACGATATTTGTAGGTCAGTAAGCCACCAGGATTCCTACGTGCGGTTACCCATGTGAGAGGTTACCCACCTGGAGTAGAAGTGGCTGTAGAAGAGTGCTTTGAACTGATAACACATTAGTCAACACTTTCTGCTTTTGTGGTGAACAGGAGCTCAAGGGTTTTATTTTGTTTAGTCAAACAATTACATAGTAAAGTGGTTTTCATAAGGTGCTTCTTTTTAGATCACTTGCATTTTTTTTTTCTGGAAAGATTGGTAGATTAATGCTTGCATTTTGTATACTATTCAAAGGATCATACAAAAGTCCTTTTAGAATGATGAGGATTCATTAGGCTTCCTTTGACATTATTTAATAGTTTGGAGTGCATTGTTGTTTGTACTTAAATCTTAACTGCAATATGCAGTCTCTTTTGAACTTCAGACTTATAACCCTTCTTGCTTGGTGTTCCTGTTCGCTACTGTGTGCCAGGCTGTGACCTTAGTGTTTAACCCATCTAAACTTTTTATTACCTGAGTTTAATAACTATCATTCCTAAGCCTTTCCTTTCCTTTGATCTAAAAGTTCTCTTTCCTAAATCACAGTCCGGCTGCCTAAACCTTACTTACCTCTATATTTAGCCCATTACTTACCTCATTTACCTCCATAGTGACTGAATCAGATTGTACTTACCCATGACTTACCTAATCATAATGAATAAGCATTTATGTGCAGAGTCAAAACTAGAACCCTCTACTGCTATGTTTTAATATTAGAGCTCCTAAGGGACATCTGCTCTTCATTTGTAGGTTGATATTGCTGCTGGAGGATGGCATTCTACTGCACTGACAGACAGCGGAGAGGTAGTCTTTGTTCCTGGTTGTGATCTATCAAATTTGTATTGTGTGCTTAATGTGCTTTACATTTCTATTGTCTCGGAATCTTTTGTGCTGTGTATATCTCGTGCCCACAGTACTCTTTGATAGCCTATTACTTGTTCACCAGAAGCTAATTCAAACTCCATTGGTGTGATATGTATTCCTATTTCAATGAAAATGTATTGCTTTAGAATGTATTTTGCATGTACTCAACTAGCCTGCATATATTGCTCCACATTTTGCACTTGCTGATTGCAAAGTGTTAGGAATTTTGCAAAAGGTATATGCAGTCAATTGAGGCCTCTTGAAAAGGTACCATTCGTACCATAGGGTGTTTCGTGACTTCTCTGGTTCCTTTTTTCTGTCAAAATGATTCTGTTGATTGACAAACTGTAATGAATTTAGAAGGAACTTTATATTCTAAACTAAATGGGGCATGCATTTAGAAGGTTCTTATGAGGACATTATAATAAGTTTGTGATTTGTAATCCCAAAAGCGAATCCCTTTTTTTTTTCCAATGGAGCTCTATACATGCAAAATTTTCCTTTGTTAACAAGCTGCTAAGTGTTTTGCACCTAATCATATCACTCTTACATGCGTGTGCGTATACCGTTCCTAACAGAAAGGGTAAAGGCAAATTTATCAGAAAGCCCCTAAAATATAAATTATTTTATATTTTACCCATTATCAAAACATGTAAAAATCAGCTGGTAAAACACATGATTATGTGTCCACTAATGGGTTTCTGGAAATTAAATCAACAGAAATAGGTGAGATGTTAAACTACTTATTCCAGCGGTATCCATCTATTGCTTGGTGCTTTGTTGCTTGTCTTGCTCCCCTGCCTATCGGGCTAGGTGAAGTCTCCCTTGTTGCTTGCTGGTCTTACTTGCTAGAGGACATTCATGCATATAATGTTCATCCCGCGAATGCTTTTGATGAATTTTGCTAAAAAGTCCACCAGTGCCCAATTGTAATGCGCTAATGATAATAGTATGTGGTCTCGTACAGTATTTCAGCTCACAGGAAGCAAAAGAGTTCATAGTTTTCTTTTTGTTTTGGCAGGTGTATGCTTGGGGAAGGGGAGAACATGGTAGGCTTGGTTTTGGTGATGACAAGAGCAGTAAAATGGTTCCACAGAAGGTCCAACTTCTTGCTGGAGAGGTTGTAGCTCAGGTGGACTCAATTCTCACACTTGTCCCCAACTTTTATCATTTCGCTGGCCATACATAAAAAATAATTGTTTCATTGTTGATTATCCATGATAGGTCTCTTGTGGAGGCACGCACTCAGTCGCCCGTACATGTGATGGCCGGATATACTCGGTAAGAAAATATTAGATGAGATGAGATGGTATGAAATGATTCAGTTGTGATGTATGACTTTGGTTTAATATGTTGCAGTTTGGGCGAGGGGATCATGGACGTTTGGGATATGGAAGGAAGGTAACTACAGGGCATCCAATGGAAGTACCCATAGACCTGTCTCCACCAAGTAATGCAGAAAATACAGAAGGGAGCTGGTTTGTTAAACTTGTGGCGTGTGGAGGGCGGCATACTCTCGCTATTACCTCCTGGACTAGTGAAACTGAGGCATCAGCATCTGAATCGAATTAATAGTAGATACTACTGTTTAGTTACAATTCACATGAGGGAACATCATATGAGAAAATAGCCTTTGGATTTTGAGGACAAATTGTTTTTGCCCCAAAAATAGCTCACTTTGTGCTAAAATGAACAACTGTCATAAAATGACAGTAATGCATAAGTTGTATCGTGTTCCCCTTCTTCAGACAGTAGTAGTTTCTTGTGATGTCTGGGTTTCAATTATGTTATGTTGCATAACTTCTTGCGCTCTTGCACTTCTATATCGCAAGCGTTCATGTAGTGCTTCAGACATCTGGTTGAAGAACTCTGAGTCCCATCTGTTAATTAAAAGAGGATCCTCAGCATAGCAGATGTATATGGATGTAACAGCACTTTCTACCACGACCATTGCCAGACCAACCTGAAAGAAAGAACCAATTGTTGGTTATGCTGTCCACCGCATAAAAGGATCTGCTAGTGCATGGGAAATTGAACTTAATATGCATATTAAAACTCAGAAAGGCAGCGAGGATGGTAAAAATGATTGTTTTTCGTTTTATTATTTTTTTATTGAACAGGTAAACATGATTCTTACAACAGAATGCACAGCACAATAGAAAACTCAACTGCGCTCACAATTTGCTGGATAGAATATGTTTGAAATTTTCACAGAAACATATCCCTCAGTTTTCATCTGGTCTCATAAAAAGCTTCGAGGCATTTCTGACATGTTAGCAGTCCTTTCCAAAACATTGTGTTAAGTTTTTTAACTGGTGTGGATGGGATACTCAAATTCCGCATGGATTGCAACCAATTTAATGGCATCGGGTAACCAAACATTAAATAATGCTTTTCCAGAGGTTCTAAACATTATCTAGACATGATTTGATAACCTTTGATAATTTGGTCAGGGTTTTGACTGGAACAACTTAATTGTACCCCAAAGATAGAGACTTATGGGGAACCATTTTCCGCATATTTCAGAAATAAATACGTTAATGGACACAACAAACAATTTGGTGCTCGTGAGCCGGACTCGTTGATGGTGCAAGTTCAAGTCCTAATAATGCAAAGATCTCCTTGATGGATGTCCAATAACGCAAATATCAAACTGCAATTGATCCAAATTATCTCACTAATAATTTCCAAGTCTTTTTGAACGTTCCTAATTTTACACAAGACTCTGAGCAACGAAGGATAAGTGTGTGGAGCAACTTTAAAAAAATTTCGGCAATAATCAGACAACTTTTATTAGTATGTCCATCACGTACATGTTTTACCATTGTTCTTAGAAATTTTATAATGAAACCTAAAGACAAATACAAAAGAACAAATAGAAAATTCCAAGATATGATTGCTGCTACATTTACAAACACATGACTCAGAAAAACAAAAACTGGTTATGAAAATCCGCCTTGAAAACCACCTAAAATTTAGGGTTTTGCACATGTTACATCCCTCATGATTCCTCCATATCAATGGTGCACTACTTGGACGATAAATATATTCTCTTTTTCTGTCTTGGAAGACAAATACCTTCTCTTTTTCTCTGTTTCAGGCAGAAGTTTCAGGCTTAGAGTATTTAGTTTCAGACTTACCTTCTTCATCAAGGTTTCTATTAGACCTACCTCCTAATCTATATATCTCAATCTTTCCAAAATCTTTCAGAACCTTTTCAAGGCAAATCCTAACTGACACTGATTCCATAATCCAATTAACTTTCTTGGGAAATCATGGAAATATAGAAAATCTAGGGAAATTGGAATCAAACCATCTAGAAACACCTCCTGTGGGCCTCGCACCACATTGGGTATATCATGTCCAAAAAATATTTAATGAAATATTGTACATAGTGGGACCCCATAATCAATGGGGTTCACACATAACTCTCTTTGCCCTTTCACGTGACCCAAGATGCCCTTAAACAGGCCAATGTGCTCCACATAATTTCATAAAATCATCGTAAATAGTCTTCCAAACAAACAAAAAAAAAAATTACTCCAGCAAGGTCATAGATCGAAACAAAATTTACTTCCATAAATTCCCTTAAAAAACAATTTCACAATACCAAAAATAAGATGACTGAGAGGAGAAAATAAAATATATTTTATTTTCCTCAAAAAAACCCTTAAAAAGCTTTTAGAGGGCACCTCTAAGAGAGTGCACCAGCAATGAAATACAATCCTAATTATATGCTCCATGTATACCCAATAATTACACCCTAAACCTCAAACCAACCCAATAGACCCGTGGCCCATATGTCATGCAAGGGGCTCATGACTGGCCTATCAAAGCTAGCCAAGGACAAGAGGAACCACAATGCAGGCACATAATACAAGTGTCCCCTAAGTACACACGTATGGTCGAACCTATATATTGACACGCAGTCTTCTAGTGCAGGGGGTACTCTTATCATTGGACTCAAGAAACCGCAATTAGCAGTACACATGTTTAGGATGCCATATCAAAACTCAAAATGCACCATCCTATCAAACGAGACCTTTTTAGTTTCCTCCTGGCCAGCAATCCACTAGTGGGCTAATCCAAACCTCGACTAAGGCAACCCAATTTAAAACTATAGAAACAAAGAAAAAGAAGAGAAGAAAAAGAAGAAAGTCCAGGGAGAAGAGTAGATTAGAGATACAAGAGTTAGTTTGAGAAAGTGACATTGCCTTTTGAGGCGAGAAAAGAGAAGGGACTGTCACATTAGAGTTACCTCACCCACAAGCCCCTCCCATTCTTATTTAAAATGATTAAAAAGTACAATGCCCATATGTATTGGAAAAGGTTGAAAAATTACAAAATGCCTATACGTATTGGAAAAGGTTGAAAAAGTCCTTAAGGACTTGTATACAAAATCAAATAACAATAAACTTTAACTTTTGCAACATTCCCTCTCAAGCTGATATCATTCATACCCAGCTTGCTTAAGATCACTTGCAATCAAGGTTTCCCAACAACCTTAGTAAGGACACTTGTGCTACCTAGTTTTTTGTTTTAACATATTGAAGGCATATTTCTCTTATAGCAACTTTCTCTAATGAAATTATTATCTACCTCTATGTACTTGGTTCTATTGTGCTGGACTGGGTCGTGAGATATATTGATGTTTGCCTTGTTATCACACTACAAAGACAGTGAACCCTTCAAAGGGGAAAACCAAGTTCTTGTGTGAGAATATATAGCCTAAATAATTCACATGCACTATGGGTCATGGGTCTGTACTTGCTTCTACACTTGATCTAGTTAAACTAACTGTTTCTTACTACAAGTTAGAAGATTATCTCTAACCAAAGTACAGTAGCCTAGTGTAAATCTCCGATCAACAAATTGAACCAGCCCAATTTCCATCTCTATAAGCTTCAACTTGCAAGTGCCCATGATTAGTAAATAGAATCCTCTACTTGATGATTTCAGATATCTAAGAATCTCTATTAGAAGCCTCAAGATGAATAATTCGTGGATGCATGAACTGACTAATACGGTCACAACATTTGCTATTTCTAAACATATGAGTGAGAGATATATCAATCTAACTACTAATCTATGGAAACACATCCTCAACTTTGAGAGATTCAGTCCTTTGGTCGTCAAGATTGTGGTCCATAGGAGTATCACCCCAGTGTTCTTATTTTCTTAAGAAGATCCAACACATACTTTGAGAGAGAAAGATTCCTCTCTTAGCTTGGCCACTTCTATTCCAAGAAAATACTCCAATGGACCCAAATCTTTAATTTAAAATTCCCTCACCAAAAACACTCGAGTTGCCAAATTTCCTTGAGACAGTTACTGGTTACAATCAGGGCCGTGCTACTGGTCTTAGTATATTTGACCAATTAGGTACGGTTAGTGTGATTCTGAGTACACCCTATTCTTTGAGCAACATGTATGAACATAAATGGCCTTCCTCAAGTTGCAGATTTTTTCTTCAGTTGAAAGAGCCCGAAATTCAAGTGAAGGTACCATATACACTTCTTCCTGTAGTTCCCATGAAGGAACACATTCGTGACATCCACTTTGGTGTAACGGCTATACCAAGGTAGCTGTCCGGGACAAAAGAATGAATGAAGGTCATCTTAGTGAGTGAACCCCTTGCCAATTAATCATGCCTTATATTTGTCAATTGTATCATCTTTCTTGTACTTTACAATATAAACTCTATTTGTAATAAACTAATTTCTCTTTAAAAAGATCTACCAGTTCCTGGGTACCAATCTTCGTTAATGCCCTTATCTCATTCTACATAGCTTCTTTCCACATTGGATGAGCTAAAGCTTTTGTAACACTAGAATTAATACAAACAGAAGACAAATAAGATACAAAAGCATGTAGGAAGGGACAAGGACTCGTACAAAACAAATTGTTTATTGGGTGTACAATACAATTTCTTCTATCCTTCTGTACAACAATGGGCAGATATGAATCATCACATTGAGAACTGTTTGGATTACCTGGATCAGAGTTACGCAATTGCTTTGGAGGCTTCTCAGCTATGGCGGCTCTACTTTTTGTTTCGGTCGAGTACAAACTTTCAGTTCTTTCTTTTCAACATCATACGATTGCCCTCCACTAACTTCCTGAGCTTCACAATCAAGAAAAACGAAAATAGGAAGGGGAACAAAAGACCTCTCCTCCACACTATGCTCCCCCAAACGAGAAGGAAAAAATGGAGTTCACTCAAAGACAGTGGAATCCATTGAAACAAACTTCTTCCCTAAGACTGGATCATAACATTTGCAAACCTTTTGAGATGACGAATAGCCAAGAAAGATACATTTTGCAGACTTGGGATCCAACTTTGTACGCTACGAACCAAATACAAGAGTAAAGCAAACACGTCCAGAGTATCGAAGGTACACTAAACAATGGACAATTAGGGTGGAGAAGCTTAAAGGGAGATTTTCAGTCTAGAACACAAGACGATGTACAATTATACAATAAGATATTGCGAGCACAGCTTCGGACCAAAATTTTTTGGGAATATTCCTGCTCAAGAAAAGAGCTCGATCAACCTCCCAAAAGATGTCTATTCCTGAAAGGGTGGTTATGTGGAACTCAAGGTATTAAATTTGAAAATTTTCTTTTACTTTTATTCCAAATACCAAAATTCCATTTACGTGAACCACTATATGTTGCTACAAATTAAAATACTACCCTATATACAACCTAAGATCTTTATTTTTACTACCAAAAGAAATAAAAACCATCCAAGAGCTTTAAACTAATTTCCACTATGATTTTTAATACAAAACAAGTTCCTAGAAATTCACAAAAAAGAAGAAGAAATAATGCTGAAAATAAGTACAGCTACTAAAAAGACTTACTGAAAGATGCCTGAAGTTACCCTCACAAGTCTTGGTACACCCTACATCTGATTCCCTGACCAATGACGTACTTTTACTCATTTTAAGTGTTGATGGAAATTCTAAGATAGGAAGCTTTTTAGACAATACTTCTTCCTCTAGGGTTTTAGAGAGCTCAAAAATCAAACTAGGGTTTCTACATACCCTGTAAGAACAACTTAGAACTGAATCTGTGAGTTGATCTCTCTCTAGCTGGGCTTCTCCCTTCTTTTCTTCAAATACAACAAACCATACTCTAGGGCTTCACCATGTACATAGCAGAGGCGAGAGGGTGGCATGATTCTCTAAGAGGAGAGAGGATGGCGTGATTCTCTAAGAGGAGAGAAAATTTGATGTGAAAGAGAGAATATTCTGGCATGGAGAGAAAAAACTTGGGGTGTGAGAGACGAATCTTTTTATGTGAGAGAAAAAATCTCGTAATGAGAGAGGGGCCTGAAATCTTGTTTAAATAGAAACAAGATCTATTTCTTATTTTGAATAGGTAACCAATCTAAGTATCCTTATTTAATTTTCAGCTTGATTTTTAGGATAATTAAGAAATCTGTGGGGTGAGAGAGATTTAGTCGAGAGCAATTCATCCCACAAATAAACCATCATGATTTTAGGTGGAAGGATAATAATATTATCCCTTTAGATTTTGACCCTAGTCCAACTCTTTTTTAAATTTAAAAATATAACCAATCTTATCATTATCTAGATCTCCCATAATCTAAGATAATAGAATAAGAAATCAAATCTTATTTAAAATTTAAAGATTTCCTATCTTATCTGTAACTAATTTTAAAATCAAATTTGAAACAAGAAAAGTGGGGTTTAAAATCAACACAAACAGCCGCTCAAATGCCCTCCCACAAGGATTTGAGATCATCTATACAAGAGATCTCAAGAACATGAGTCTCACAACTCAAAATAAAGGGGTTGACATGGTCAAGTTGTCCAACAATTGATTTTGAAATCATCAAATCATCCCAACCAGATCTAGAGTTTCTAACCTAACATCAAAAGTAGAATCCAACGGCATAATCAAGGTTTTACATTCAGTACCTGTTTTTTGGAATACGGGTTTCTAACCGTACGGCTGATGAAGACACTTGCACGATCACATCACATCATTAGGATGTAAAACACCTATGTTGAAGTCTCATTCTCTTATAACAGGTTAAAAAATGTCGAAACAGAGAAAAAGAAGAGGAAAAGGAAGGAGAAAGTCTAGAGAGAGCACAGATTTACTGATAGAAGAGTTCGAGAGAGGAAGTGAGAAAGTGTGGCATTGAGGAGAGAAGCATGAAGGGGCTGTCACATTAGGGTTACCTCATCCATATGCCCCTCCTATTCTTATTTAGAATTGATCAATTATAAAAAGTACAAAACGTGCTCCCTATGTATGGCAAAAGGACGAATAAGTCCTCGAGGGAAATACAAAAAAGATATGACAATAGGCTTTGACATCTACAACACCCATCAGACCAATTTGGTGATGCATCCAGGAACTATTGTTAGCACATATCCAGCCCAAGGTGCGGATTCCGCTCCTCCTAACCAAGGCTTAGTCACATCCAATGTGAGAGTGATAGAGCGCTCTTGGCCCCAACCATAGAGTCCGATCAAAACAGATGCTCATGTCAAAACCACCCTAAACAATATATTGCCTGCTCTCATGGCATGTTTTATCCATGGAGCCAACACTCGCACTCAAATTGGGAGTTTTATTTTGATTATATAAACAATACAGAATACATGGGATAAACTAGCTGTGAATTGAAAACCAAGTGGTAAAGCCTTTAATGGACACAAATCCAAACGAAGGCTAATCCTACCTGATGTTTAATTTGTAATTCCATAGAGGTGTAAGATATGTTACCTTCCAAAAAGGAAAAGGGAATGAGCAACTGTGTGTGGTAATTGGTACCTGGACACTTGAAAAGATAGACAACTAAGATGAAAACCTCAAACACTAAAATGCTTGCAAGTGAAACCATAAGCATGTAGCATCTAAAAAACTGAAGTGTAATTTATATGGATCATCACATCTAATGGAATGATCGATGTCTTTCCCAAAGAAACCAAACAGACCTTTGAAGGAATTGTTTCAAAGCAATCAAACAGATTTTTTTTAACCAAACATAGCTGGAAGCCCTCTCTATGATAGTTATTCCTAGATATATGACAACTAATTGCTTCACGTCTTTAAGAAATCTGCAGTATATGGAAAAACTTGCCGCATAAATAAATATACTAGGAACTATTTGAGGACTTACCAAGATCATCCCCATCAACATAGCCGTAAAACCAACCATAACCACTCTATCACTTTTCTTGAACCATGTCCAGATTCCGGCACATGTTCCAGTAATAAGTCCACCCAAAGTTGTTCCCATCAAGAGAACTGCACCAGAACAATCATAAGCAATAAGGGCTTCAATGCCAGTTGACTGAAATAGCTCCCACGCATCCCTTGCTGAATGGTTAAAGCTCTTCCCAGAAACTGCTATCTGCAAAGATAAAATTCATAAGTCCATAGGTGTCATTCATATTTTGAGTCTTTAGAAGCCAAGCCAACACACAGTCGGATCTTAGAAAATATTCACATATATTGGGAAGAGATATTCCACATAATTGACATGTCATGAGATGGGCCAGAAGTATCTTTTCTGAGTCAACATATAATGCTCACCACATGAATCTCCATGTCTTGTACTATCCCACTCAAGTGCTTCCAATTAACAAAGAAGGCCATTAACCAAATACAAGTAGACATTAGCAAAATTTACAATCTTGGAGTAACACTCATCTACAGTTTAAAATTTTAATTGTCCGGATATCCAGATCATGGTCCTATGACATAATAATAGATGGCTCTTGGTCAATGGGATTTATATATAATTTTTTTAATATCTTTCAAATGAGATGTTCGATAATTGTGAAATCAATGTCAAACTAATTGCCTTGCAGCAAGGATGAAAATATCTAAGGCTTAGGAAAATTGTATTTCATAAGTCATGTGCCAACTGCGGAAAATTTTCACCCACAAACGTAGATCTATACTGGTAGGGATCTTTTTTTTCTGTTTTCTTCCGTTTTTAGTGTTCTCCTAATTGCACGAGAAGTCAGATGTAATGGTAGTCAAGAATTGTATATATATAATGCACCAATTATAATGAAGAGGCTTGTTTGTTGAATAGCAACTAACTTTGGCTGTGTTACACACTAACCTTGTCATGTGAATTTCATTTACCACAATAGCAATGATGGCAACACGAAATTGAGCACAACATACTTTATAGGCTGTTTACCTGTGTCAAGAATGCAAAGTACTCCAGCTGTTCCATCTTGTGAAGTTTACAACTCAAAAATTCATGTACGACCATCATGTGTATACTTTGTCTTTGTCTGCCCCTACATGTCTAGTCTTTTGCTGCATTTGAACTCCAAAATTTTGAAAATCAACAAAAAACAAGTTCCATTGGATGGATAGAATGGTATGAAGTTACAATTTGCTTAAATCAAAGCTTAAAACCTGGAGGAAAAAATCCTTTGGGGCTATGGATGTAAAGAAATCGGCTTTACTTGAAGAGATTGCTGAGCTAGATCATTTAGAGGAGCACAGAAACTTATCCACTATTGAACTGAAGGGTCATAATTGTTGGTGTAGATACTTGTCCTAGGTACAACTCTTTTAAAATTTCACAAAGAGAAAAATATACACCTCAATTATATACACTTTCTTCAAAAGGACCGCCAACTTTGATTGATACAACAAATCTTACAACTCCAAAGCAGTAGGAAAAGAGGATCACAAACTCCTTATAATATGCCCATAATCATTTCCATTCATTTGGACACCATGAGATTGCATATGTACAAGATAATGTACACTAATGTAAAATTCAGCCATTCTTAGAATTACATCAAACACTTTTACATACACCAATGGCTTAAATGCAATCTCAATTATTACAGACACTTTCACAAATGTGTACATAGAAGACATAAGCCATGGCAAGACAAAACTCATGCAATTTCCCAGCAATTACCTCCTCGGGATTTACAACAACCCCTACTGAAGTTCCATTACAACAACACGAGGATCCAAGCTCCATCACACTTAATATTTGGAAAGCATAAAATAAACTTCAAATGCACAATCTAAGATCAATTTAGGGACCGATTTGATGCAGAAGATTGAGAGAAAAAATGATGCTAGTGTGCGGTACAAAATTTGTGCCTATTTTAGTCTGAAATGATGGAGCATAGTAATTATGAGAGCATAGTGAGGACATATAAAAATGAAGTAAAGAACACAATGAAAGTGACAATACCTTCCTGTAAATGCACTTTGCGGCAGGTTACAGCAATGTTTGGAGGACCAGATGATGTCTCAAGGCTATGGAGCCTGATGGAGCATGGAAGCAAGGTGGGCTAAGTGCACAAGGCCATGGTGCAGACCATGGGCTCTTCTCTCACACATGGATAAACCTCTCTTCCAGTCTCTCTCTAGCTCTCTAGGCTATGGCGTTCCATTCTCTCTCTCTCAATTGACATAGTAACAATGTCATTTAGAGCCCTTGAAATAGGAAATCTATGGGGTGAGAGAGGCTTGATCCTAGCCATCCAATCCCTTGCTAGCTATCATAAGTCAAGGGTCTGGATTTAACACCATTATCCCTTGGCTTAAATTCAAACCCAAATTTATCTCCAATATTCAATTCAAAATTCCTACAAATGAGCATAGTCACATTCAAGGTTAATTCATGTTAATCAAATTCAAATTTTGGATCAAAGACTTAATTATTGTTCATCATCATAATTCGATTTCATAAGAGAGAACTTAAATGCCATTTAGAGCCCTTGAAATAGGAAATCTATGGGGTGAGAGAGGCTTGATCCTAGCCATCCAATCCCTTGCTGGCTATCATAAGTCAAGGGTCCAGATTTAACACCATTATCCCTTGGCTAAAATTCAAACCCAAATTTAAGTCCAATATTCAATTCAAAATTCCTACAAATGAGCATAGTCATATTCAAGGTTAAATTCATTTTAATCAAATTCAAATTTTGGATCAAAGACTTAATTGTTCTTCATCATAATTAGATTTCGTAAGAGAGAACTTTGAGAGAGGGGCGTGCTCCTAAGTATGAAATAAAGTTGCGCACGGTTTATATAAGGTGTCAACCTCAAAAAATTAAAGTAACATGCACCTCTAAATCTTGCTAAAATATGCATTTCCAGAATCAGGAATCGTTACAATGACCTAAAATCTATATTCACCCCCAATTATGAAATTTAAAGCCCCAAAAATAGCGTAGATTCATAAACACTTATTTTTTAAAAAAATAGACAGTCTAGATAATATGTTACAAGATGCATTATTTTTACGCCTTGAAACCTTTTTTTTTATTTTTTATATCATATACATTGAGTTTGACTTGATCAATAGTAGGGTTTTTGAACACAGGAACAACCTTTTTAAGTATATTTTAGAGGTGTACCACTTCTATAGTATAAGGTTGACACCTTATATAAACCTTTTGAATAAAGTTTTCTATCTCTAAGTTTCAAATTTAAAACTAAGCTCTTTCTCTCACTAGCACATGGGATTTAAATGGAATCAAGAAAGCATGCCAAGTAGCATGGAAATGGTCACTTTCATTGCCCAAAAGCCTAAAGGTTTAGATTGAGATCTCAAACCCAATGCCCCTTGTGGAAGCCCCCTATCTGCACCCTCTTAGACTTGCCACATTGTTTTGATCTCATGTGTATTTTGTGTATTTTCTTGTTTCTTGCCTTTGGATATATGTATTTGTACAAAGGTCTTATGTAAAACTGCTACCCTAATGTAATATCACTACACTATATATATAGTCTAATCTTCCTAGCGTGTAGGTATGCTTAGAGGAGTTCAAGCCAAGCCCTAAGCATAATTCTCTATTCTCTCTCTCATTTCCTCTCGTTTGTCTTTCAGCTGTGAAGTTTCACAAACAAACGCAAGTTAACATGGTATCAAAGCAGGTTTGGTGAGGAGAATAGATCCATCCATTACTGAAATACATCTTGAGTCTATCGTTCAGATTCGTTTTCTATACCAATCCAAGTTCCTTCGCTTTTCCCCCCTTGATCCTTTTCTCACTCTTGAACATCTTTGCGCAAACTAGTTTTCTTTCTCTTCGCAAATTGAGTCCCTTCTTTCTCTCTCTAGATCATTTTCTACACTCTTTCTTAATCTCTCTACTTTTTTGTTTCTCTCTCTAGATCTGGTTTTATTCACACTATTCCATCATCTCCCTAGATCTGGTTTTATTCTCTCTACATCTTTTCGTTTCTCCACACTATTCCACTGTCATCTCTCCCATCATCTCTCCTTGTTTTCCTTTTCCAGATTTCGTGAGATTGTATGTGCTCATTCCCCTTTACTATGGGATAGTAAATGCTTTCCAATTCCCCAAGTCAATCAAATTCGTTTTCATTCCCGAATCCTCAATATGTCTCCGTCTAACTTAAATCTGATAATTTTATTGTCCGGAAAAGGACTGTTGCTCCCTTCATCAGAGGCCAACATCTCTATGGTCATTTGGATGGATATACTAAGCCACTACCAGAATATGTTACTCAAGAAAACACAAACTTAGATGGAAGAGAGAGACCACTTTGGTGGTCAACCCAGCCTTTGAAGATTGACTTGTTAAAGGCCAAAATGGTATTGGTTGAATAAATTCAACCTTGTCTGAAGAAATTTTGGCTCAATTGGTGAATTTACCTACTGTGTACTATCTTTGCAGATCCCTCAACGAGTTCTATTCTCATGATCAGAGGCTCATGCTATGAATTAAAATCTGAACTTCAAGATTGTAAGAAGCGGAAGATGTTAGTGTCGGAATTTTATAACAAGATAGTATGAATATGTGAAAGCTCGCCAATGTTCGAAAACTCAGCCGCCTAGGCAGCCGCATAATCAGATGAGCGGCCAAAACACCTAGGCAGCATCTAGGCAGGTAACCTATGTGGCTTTCATCTAGGTGCCTTACCTGTCTAGGCGGTTTAATGAAGGCAGCAGCCAAGGCGCCACCTCAATGCAATGTGCCGAGGGCAGAATAAAGGCAATAGTTTGTTGGTGTTTTGGAGCTTCTAGTAGTTGATTTAGAGGACTTTTGGAACCCAATAGACAAGGTTTGGGCTGACATCGTTTTGATTTTGATATTTTAAAAGCATTATCATATTTAAATAAGGGTTTTGATTTGTTTATGCAATAATGTATTATGTTGTGAATCATTTGTTTTTTCTTTTTCTTTTTTTTTATTTTTATGATATATTTACATGTTTGTAGTTGAAAGATTGAATTTTTTTTGTTATTAATTGAATTTTTCCTCATTTGGACAATGAAATAGGGCCTATATCGAATTCTTTTATGAATAGTTGATTCCTTATTTGTACAACATGTCATGTTTTGATATTCAATTATTTTTTTTTTACTTTTTTAGATAAATCAATAAGGGAAAGGTTTCTATACTTCCCCTACAGCATAGAAGATCTATGCTTCCCCAATCATCCAGCCGTCTAGTTTTGATCAAGAGAGCCAATCACCTTTTGATCTTAGATCCGACGTCTCAAAGTATTTTATTTTTAGTTTTTTTATACAAATTGTATGAATATGAAATTTGGTAGGTGTCATCTTCTCATTGGGGCGCACCTATAAAAAATATTAAAAATATTGTTTTGATAAATATAATGACCAAAATACCCCTTGAAACTTTCAGGGGTGTTTTGGTCATTTTATTTTATTAGAAATATTTTTTTTTTATATTTTTCGCTAGTGCGAGTTTAATAGAGGATTGGATGTCCAAAATTTGGTGTCAAAATATTTATAGAAAAAAATTAAAAATAAAATAGCATAGAGACGTGACATTGTGATTGGGGCAATCTTAGGCCTCCATTTAGAATGGAGGGTTGGATAAGGGGAAGTATATAAGTTTGATGTCGTAGAAGAAGCACAGAAAGCTTGCCCATAAATAATTATATTATATCCTAATTCTTATGTGAAGCTATATATGATTATTTTTTTCAGATTGGTTTGCAATGAACCATGACCCAACGAGGACATGGAAATCCTCACTAGGATAGGACATGTGGGCAATGAGGGCCCCAAGTCCCACACCCATGTGGGACCGCAACATGTGGATCTAGGACCTTGGCTCCCTCTCCCACATTGCCTTAGAGATTTTTGGAAATTGCAAAAACATCCTTTCAGGTTTTTCATTGCTGAAAATGATTTTAAAAATTGCAAAAAATTCTAAAATTCATAGAATCATCTCTAATATTGAAAAGAAAAATTCTAATAGTGAATTGATACCCATGGCTCAAGAAAAGTGACTATCAGGGCACTCTACCCAACCCAGTAACCATGGTCCATGACCATCTTTTCAAACCAACCTAACGAGAGCAATGATGCACAGTCTCCTGTAGGAGCTCATGATTAGCTCATCAAATCTGACCAATAAATAATGGAACCATGGTATTGGAATGTAGATTATTGGTTGTAAGTCACACACACATATCATTATAGTTGAAGGGGGGCATTCTCTATGCACATGTACACGTACCTTTTTGTAGGATTGCATCCCAGTATGTGGTTGTCACATATAGATGTCGTGTGAAAGTTTGTTGTGGATTTGGCCATCACACTTACAGGCCTATATCTGCACAAAGGAGATCACGAAGCTCTCCTAGCCTATAAATTTCCCATGGGTATCTCTCGGACCTCAACAAGGGATAACACTCTAAAAACCCTCTACAGTAGTTCCATATGACCAAAAGAGGGTTTTAGACATGTCCTAGACCATAGATCGCCTAACATTGGGTCAATTAACCAATACACACTCTCACTGAATTATATAACCAAGTACAATTCATTATTTTACATGCTCTCATGGGCTTTAAAGGTTACAGACCCCAACATAAATTAGAAGTGTTTACTATGAGAGAATCCTAATTATATGGGATTATGGAAGGTCTAATTCTAGTTTCAATAGATGCAGATATGGGTCAAGGATCTGAGGGATAATGGTTCAAGGATTCCTCTTTGATCATGATGGCTAATCTAAAGAATGGATGACTCAAATTTAATCATTTCTTCCTCTCACATATTACGTAGGATTCCCTAGTCAAATTCGAGTCTTATTAGAAGATGGTATACCCACCATATGCTTTTCTGGACTCTCTCTCTCCTCTATCCTCTACTCCCCACCTCTCTCAATCTTTCTCTCTCTAGCTTCCTCTCTCTCTCTCTAAGGTTAGGCACTCCCCTAGTAAGGTACGACCATAGAGGTTTCACACCACCCTGGCTAGCCTGAGAGGAGAGTACTCCTAGCCCAGTTAGGTCTTGTGGTTGGAGGTGGTGCCACATTGTGGCATGCCCTAGTTTTGGGTTGAAAGGATACCTATTGTTTTCAGTTTCATGCTCAAGCCACAATTCTGTGAAAGGGTATCACCATAAGTGCTTCCTAGATTAGGAGGACTCAAGAAGGGCCAAGGACCAGTGTGCCATCTGCCTGGTAATCGGGTGTGGGGTGTCCCATGTCCTATGGGGGTGATCCTAAGCAAAGCTCAGACCAATTTGTTCTCAATTCCTATTTGTGTTAGGATTCCTATTTGAATTATGATTCCTATTCAGACTGGGATTCCTACATGAATTAGAAATCCTATGTGTATTGGAATTTGCATTGTAACTGAGATCAGTTCATGAATAAAAGTTTTATATATATTCTTCTTGAGGCAGTAAGAGTTAAAGATCCATAGCATGTAGTAGGTTTTATCTTATGCATCCACTCTGTAATTTTGGCATTTTAAGTAGAATTACCAGTTATTAATAATGGAAAAAGAGAAAAGTTTTGAATTTACACCCCTGGAATCCTACGTAGCCACTCCTTTTCAGCTATGACACATGGAACTGGTAGGATAATTTGTGACACATTAACCTTGAAGCTAAGATGTGTTTGTACCTTAATTATTTTGATTGATGTTGCATATATAACAGTAACGATGAAGGGACCAATAGAGGGTAAAATAGTTGACATATTTGTGGGAAGAAGTTAAACATAGAGATGCTCATGTGTACAAGGGTTACTGCAAGTGGAGAGGGGTGAGACCTAGCTGGTGGGTGGGCTGTGCATTGGGTTATCCCTCAAGGTGTAGACCTGCATGCCACTCATTATAAGTGGAAAAGTGTATATGGCGAATTTTACAAGTATATATGCTGCAACTCCTCATCTCCCAGTTGCATGGAGAGATATTACCAACCCAGCGAGAAAGAGGGAAAACTACCAAGAGTACAAACTCCACTCCCTGAAAATATAGTGCAGACACAAAAGACATCATGCTATACTGAGGTCAAGAGAATCATCAAATCTGGGAATCCACAATCTTACATGAACGAAAGTACACTAGGCAAATGAATAAACAAAATAATTAGTTTATTTGTTTTAGTCCTTGAAGATTAATGATGAACTTGTACACATTATAGATTTAAAAACATTAAAGCAAAATTATGTCATGAAACAATCGGCATTGCATAAATCTTCATGCTGCTTTATTTCAAATAGGAACAAGGTTAGAGGCATGATTAATGCCAGAGAGGAGATAGTTAAAGGCTACATTGAAATTTATGCAAGAGCAGGAGCCCCATAAGTTGCCATCAATGTTCTTGGAGATCTTCATAGGTTTGCATATCAGTAAGGGGTGATCCCTCAACAAAGTTTGATGGCTCAAATGAGAATTCCCCTGCCCTGAGCAGCTTGATGTCATGTTTGCATAAACATCATGTATGTTTCAAACAATTTATGTAATTCGTCATTATTGGGAACGTTAAGATGCGAGTTAAGTAGCAAGTATTTAACAAAAATAGGGTTACACAGTAGGGTAAATAGTTCTTGAACATTAAGCAATCTTGATGTAAATGTGACTGTGCTCCAAAAAAATTGTGAAATGAAAGATGAAAATTGAAACTCTTCAATTTTATTCATAGTAAATCTTAACCTCTCCAGAAACAAAGGAAAGAATGTAGATATGTAGTGTGCACTACCTGAACATATGCATATTTGTTGAAGAAGCGAACAAGTGTCTCAACAAGATTAAATAAGAAGTCTACACAGCAGAGCAAACACTCATTGTTGCCAATTTTCGATCGAAACCCACGGATCTATAGAAAATGCCAAAATGTGTGAATTGCCAATATCAAGAGTCAAGACCAATAATAGATAACTAAATAGAGCTAATAAATATAATTATGGCTTTAAAATACCTCCCATCTCAATGTTCGGATGGCAGCAGTGAAAAGAGATCCATAGCAGATGCTACCCAGAGATGTAGTCAAAGCATGTTGCAGAGTCCTTAGCAATGGCTTTGGTGGCATTGATGATGATCCTTGACCACCGTTTAAGAGAACTAGAACAACCATACCAGATACTACCACATGGACAGTGTTACAAAGAACAGCACCTGTCCAAAACAAACTGATTGAGAGTACCTGTATGTGAAATATAGAAACTTGTGAGTAAATTGGTGGGTATGCTACAATACAATACTACGAATGCAATTGTTGGAATCTTAAATCAATGGAAGAAATTAGAAAACTTGCCAGCTCACCCCAAGAAGCCACCAGCAGCCACCATCACCTATGCTTGAAGCAACCACACCAGATACTCCAAAAGACCAAATTGCGAACCACACGAGCATTAATCCCATAAATGCATAGGTAACCCTCATAACCTCAGGAACGTTCCAAACCATCTTGACGCCTTTTTGCAAAACCAACATTGTGAACGGAAACCTGTTTTTGATAAATTAGGTGTAAAACAAAAATTTTTCTAAGCACCAACCATTGCCACCCACTTTTTTCGATATTGCCACCAAAAACATGGATTAGTTCCAACCAGTGTTTAAAAAACCGCCGAGTCGAACTGGACTCGCCCGGTTCGACTCGGGAATCGACAGTAGCGTCTCGAATCACACGAAAAACCGAGAATCGCCCGGTTCTAGAGAGAACCGGGCGAGTCTGTACAGTGACTCGCCAATTCACTGTACGGACTCAGTGAGTCCCGTGAAGAACACGGGCTGCACAGTGTTCTTCACGGGATTCTTCAAAATTTGACATTTTTTGATCATTTTTCTTGTTTTTTTTGGCATGTGATCTAATATGCGAGCTTTAAACAACTTTATTCAGATTTTTCACGGATTAAATGGTTGAGAAATTTTGTGTTTTTGGATCACGAAAGTTGCATTTTTAGGGTTTCCGCCTTTCCTTGTGTTTCATGCCAAATAGGGCATGAATCTGTCAAAATTTGTAGGCATTTTGATCATAAAGTTATTCATCAAAACCTTCTGTTACGAATTTGAGATAATCGTTGAGAAAAACAGAGTTATTTGGCGATTGAAGGCTCGGGTTCACAAAACCAGGTAAGAAGTTTGGGTTTTTTTTTTTCCGCCATATGATTAATTTCACTGCATATTTTGAAGATAATGAGTTCAATTTGTAGGGTTTTTAATCTTTATTGTGTCTATTATGATTTACCATATTCAATTTTATGTAATTTGGTCAATTACAGCATGAATTTTTAGATGAACACAGTGATGTCTGTGGAAAAAAATTTCTGCTGTTTTTTTTTTTTTTCCGCCTTTCGATTTTTTGTTCATGATATATTACAAATAATGTGTTAGATTTCTAGCGTTTTTAATCGTTATAGTGTTGTTTGTAATTAAATGTATTCAATTTGATCTGATTTATTCAATTTGAGCTTCATTTTTTAGATTCAATGACTGTTGTCTGTGAAGAAAAGAACTGCGTTTTCTTTTTTTGCTCAATTTAATCGATTTGATTTGATTTATTGATGATAATGTGTTCAAAATTTAGGGTTTTGATTCCTTATATTGTTGTTTATCAGAAAATGTACTCAATTGGATGTAATTTATTCACTTAGAGGTGGATTTTTTAGTTAAAATGCCTTATGTAAGATGGCTCTGTGAAGAACAGAGTTTTTTTTTTTTTTCTAACCCATGATAGAATTTTTTGTAATCCATGATCGAATTTTTTGTAATCCATGATCGAAATGTTTGTCTTTTTTTTGTAATCCATGATCGAATTTTTTGTTTTTTGTTCTTTTTGTAACCCATGATAGAGTTTTTTGTAATCCATGATCGAATTTTTTGTAATCCATGATCGAATTGTTTTTTTCTTTTATTGTAATCCATGATCGAATTTTTTATTTTTTTGTTTTTTTGTAATCCATGATCGAATTTTATGTAATCCATGATTGAATTTTTTGTAATCCATGATCGAATTTTATGTAATCCATGATCGAATTTTTTGTAATCAATGATCGAATTTTTTGTAGTCCATGATCGAATTTTTTGTAATCCATGATTGAATCTTTTGAAAATTTGTGATTTTTTTTTTTAATCCATGATCAAATTTTTTTTGTAATCTATGATCGAATTTCTTTAAAATTTGTGATTTTTTTTTTTAATCCATGATCGAATTTTTTGAAAATTTGTGATTTTTTTTTTTTAATCCATGATCGATTTTTTTGAGAATTTGTGATTTTTTTTTGTTAATCCATGATCGATTTTTTTTTTGTAATCAATGATCAACTATTTTGAAAATTTGTGATTTTTTTTTTTAATCCATGAACGAATTTTTTGAAAATTTGTGATTTTTTTTTTTTAATCCATGATAAAATTTTTTTTTGTAATCTATGATCGAATTTTTTGAAAATTTGTGATTTTTTTATTTTAATCCATGATCGAATTTTTTGAAAATTTGTGATTTTTTTTCTTTTAATCCATGATCGATTTTTTTGAAAATTTGTGATTTTTTTTTTTAATCCGTGATTGAATTTTTTTTTGTAATCAATGATCGAATTTTTTGAAAATTTGTGATTTTTTTTTTGTAATCCATGATCGAATTTTTTGAAAATTTGTGATTTTTTTTTTAGTCCATGATCGAATTTTTTTTTGTAATCAATGATCGAATTTTTTGAAAATGTTTTAATTTTTTATTTTAGTCCATGATCGAATTTTTTTTTGTAATCCATGATCGAATTTTTTGAAAATTTGTTGTACTCTTTTTTTTATTTATTTTTTATCCATGATCGAATTTTTTGAAAAATGATGATTTTACGAAAAGATGTGAAAATCGTGATAAAGTTTTGATTATCATAATGTATTAAACCCAATTTTTTATTTTTATTGTTTGAGTTTGCTGTACTTTTTTTTTTTTTCCATGATCTAATATTTTGAAAAATGATGATTTTCCGAAAAGATGTGAAATTCGTGACAAAGTTTTAATTATCATGAGGTATGAAACCATATTTAAAATTTTTATTGTTAAAGTTTTTGTTGAAAAAATTGTATGTTGATAGATTACTTATGCAAAAAAATGCATGTTATTATATTTTTAATGCAAAACTGTATTTTTTTAATCTGTTGTTAATGCATTTTTTAGTTGGAATGACTGATGTTAGGTGGCTCTGTGAAGAATTGTTTTTATTATAAATTTTTTAATGCAAAAAATGTATTTTCT